AAAAAAAAACAAAAAACAAAAAAAACCGAAAAAAACAGGAACATGGAACTCCCTCCTCCAAAATGTTTCTGTATTAATGATATGAGAATTTACCAAATTTATGAATGAGTGGCTATGGTTTTTTTGTTCTGCAGTTTTGCAGTTTTTGGCCGGGGCTGGGTTTGAACCCATCACCTCCTGCATATGGGGCCAGTGCCCTACTCCTTTGAGCCACAGGCGCCGCCCGTGGCTATGTTTTTATATTTTAGTGATGCACACAAATCAGTGAGTATACATGTAGTTACATGTTGGTAGGATTAGATATCTGTGTATGTGCACCCCTGGGCTTGCAGCCAAGTATTTATCTGTATAAGTTTATCATCATCCTGTTTAGGACAGAAGCTGTGTCTTACTCATCCTGACATCTCCCGTGTCGAGTGCTGCACACAGCACGTTACAGGTGCCTGTGCCTGTTAAATGGAATGGCTGTGATCGTGAGCATGAATAGCCACCTGGACGTATCCGTGCACCGTGCGGATGTTTATAGATGGGTGTCTGGGTGCTTTTCTGAGCATCGGTGCATTTGTGTATTTGAGGGAGTGAAGAAGGGAAGACTAATGTGGCAGGAGGAGCTTGTGGAGAGATGAGGAGGGAGTAATGAACATATGTGAGTGTCTGTCTCACAACAACACATACCGCTCTGTCAGCTTTCGAGATTGGGAGCGGTGCTTCTCCCTCCCACTTGGCACTCCCTACATTCTCTAGCACTGTAAGAATGTTCCTTCCTGGAGAGGTGGCGCAGACCTATTTCTTCTCTTCTTGTGGAGGAGTTTGAGGAGCTGGCTTTGTGCTTCTAACAAGATAATGCTTTCCTTCCATTTTTAGGCTCTCAGGCTCCGGTTGCCAAGGACATTCAAAATGGAAACTGAATTAATTGGTTCGGCAACCACCTTGGGACCAGTGAACTTTGCTTTGCTAGGGAATCTCACAGGTAGATGCTTTTTATACATTGCAGAAGAAAAAAGGACACTTTCCCCTAATTAACTGCCACCTGGACTACTAGGACCCTCTCATAATGGCCACAGATAAACTTGGAATTTCTAGACGAAAACAGAAGAGTGCAGGAGATTTCTAAAAGTCTAGATTCACATATTTCTTGAAGTTTTCTTCTCTGTCACCTGTCACTCAACCTCAGTCACCAGTGTCATCGTTTCTGATGCACAGCGACCCCTCTCCTCCCAGCTTCTCCTCCATTTATAATTTACACTTCACTTAGACTTTATAGTGTTTGCTTTTGCTCACTGGTGGTTTCTGTTCATTTTACCTCCCCATGGAGATTACAACCACTTTCTCCTGCATGCTTCACGGAACCAGCCCATTCAGGTTCCATGGCAGGTCCTGGACAAACCATTTTGCTTATTGTAACAACAAGAAAGCTTTAGCAGTCATAGAATTCTATTTTATTTTGTTTTTTTTTTTTTTTGAGATAGAGTCTCAAGGTGTCACCTGGCCAGAGTGCTGTGGCGTCACAGTTCACAGCAACCTCAAACTCTTGGGCTTAAGCGATTCTCTTGCCTCAGCCTCCCAAGTAGCTGGGACTACAGGTGCCTGCCACAACGCCCCCAGATATTTTTGTTTGTTTTTGTTGTTGCAGTTGTCATTGTTGTTTTAGCTGGCCCAGGCCAGGTTTGAACCTGCCAACCTCGGTGTATGTGGCCAGCACCCTACCCACTGAGCTACAGGTGCCACCCAGTCATAGAATTTTAGAGCTAAAAGTAACCTGAAGATCATTTTGTTCAATTCTCATGTTTTAGAGAGGACAAGTAGAGGTCCTAAGAGGTTACAGTGATAGCTTTTTTAAAAAATCACTGAGTCCAGTCTCTGTTCAACTCAACTCTGCACTTGGTTCCTCACTAGGACCTGGGTCTTCCCCATCCTGACTTCCAGCCCTACACTCTTGATGAATTTGCTGCCCACGCTGTGACCTATCCATAAAAGAAGAGGTCAGGTCAGTTCCAAGAGCAACACCAAGCTTCCAAAAAGAGGTTGAGATGCACCATCACGGTGTCCAAAGGTGGTGTGGCCCATCACAGACAAAGGGACTCTGATTTGAAGGCAAGAAGATAGTTAGCAAGGCAGCCAGACAGGAATGGGAGGGAAGGGGAAGCCTTACACAGCTAACATTCGACAAAGTCTAAGGAGTGTGTAGGCAAATCTGGCTCTTTACCAAGTATACAGACCCTGGCAGAAATGGACGGGAGAAAAGGGGAGAGGCTGAGAGTTAGCAGCTCTCGCCTCTGGTTCTAACTTGACCCTTGACAAGAAATACAATTTTGAGCAAATGATTTCATGGTCAGGCCCTCCGCTGGATTTATGGTCTTACATGTCCTAGTTTGGAGCAGGTCTTCATTCCAAAGATTCGTAATCAGGTTCTTCATTTTAAAGGGCTGGAAAACAAAATCTCTCTTCAAAATGGAAATGCTAAAAGGGATCTTCTTGTCTTGCAGAATGCTACAGTCTGTTTACATCACAGTTTACTCGGAGCCTGCTGTTAAGTCAGAATCCCAGGGCTGTTATTTTAGTCTGTTGACACTGCAGTTACATGTTCCGTTATGTGACACCATCACAAAGTAGGAACGAGATATTTAGGGGCTCCTAAATAATGATCGATCGATGGTAACTAGGTACTTTCTTTTTCTCTTCGAAGATGGTGCCTGACTGTTGCTAGAGTGCAGTGGCACAATCACAGCTCACTGCAGCCTCAAACTCCTGGGCTAAAGCAATTCTCCTGCCTTAGCCTCCCAAGTAGCTGAGACTACAGATGTGCACCACCACATCTGGCTAATTTCAAAATATCGTAGAGATGGGGTCTCATTGTGTTGCCAAGGCTGGTCTTTTATTTTGAGATAGTGTCACTATGTCACCCTTGGTAGAGTGCTGTGGTATCATAGCTCACAGCAACCTCAAGCTCTTGGGCTTAAGAGATAGTCTTGCCTCAGCCTCCCAAGTGGCTGGGACTATAGGCACCTGCCACAACACTTGGTTATTATTCTTATTTTTTGTTATAGTTGTCATTGTTGTTTAGCAGGCCAGGGCCAGGTTCAAACCCACCAGCCCCAGTATATGTGGCCAGCACCCTAACCACTGAACTATGGGTATTGAGCCAGCCAAAGCTGGTCTTGAACTTTGCCCTCAACTGATTCTCCCATCTTGGCCTCACAAGTACTGGGATTAAAGGCATGAGCCACCATGCCTAGCCCTCAGAACACTCTTTTACTATCTGTGTGAACCATACTCTAAAAGAAATGTGGGTCACTTTCTTTTCTTTTTAATAATTGTAGGCTCAGCGCCTGTGGCTCAAGCAAGCTAAAGCACCAGGCACCCTACCCACTGAGCTATGGGTGCCATCCAGTCATAGAATTTTAGAGCTAAAGGAATCCTGAAGGTGGGTTTGAATCCAACCTGGGCCCTCCAAATAACAGTGATGGCTGCAATCAAAAAATAGCCAGTTGTTGTAGCGGGCGCCTGTAGTCCCAGCTACGAGGGAGGTGGAGGCAGAAGAATCGCTTGATCCTAGGAGTTGGAGGTCGCTGTGAGCTGTGATGCCACGCACTCTACCCAGGGCAACAGCTTGAGGCTCTCAAAATAATAACAATAATAATAATTGTATAT